AAATCCACTGTAATCCACCTTGTTAACAGGCTTAATAAAACCACTCAACCACATCAATCAGTGTAGAAAAATAATTTGACAAAATTCAACAGTAATTCATGATAAAAATTCTCAGAACTTCAGGAATGGAGAAAACTTTCTCAATCTGATAATGAACATCTACAAAGTCTAAAGATAACATCATACTTAATGGTGAAAAACTCAATCATTTCACTTTAACGTTGGAAACCAGATAAGAATGCCTACCTTCATCACTGCCAAACAAATAGTACTTGAAATTCTATCCAGTGCAAAAAGGCATGAAAAATAAATAAAAGGCAAACTGGTCAGAAGGGAAGAAATACAGTTGTACCTGTTTGCATATGACATGGTTATCTAGACAGAAAAACCCATAAAATTCATTTTTTAAAAACCCTCCTAGAACTAACAAGTGAGTTCAGCAGCATTACAGGATATAAGATCAGCATAAAAATTAACTGTATTTCTGTAAGCTACAATAAACACATGGACACCTAGATTAAACATACAACACCATTTATAACTGTTCAAAAAAAGAACTATGTAGGTATAAATCTAGCAAAGCAAGTATAGGCTTATATGATGAAAGAAATTAAAGAAGATTTAAATAAACAGAGAGACATATCATGTTTATGGCTTGACAACACAGTAAAGATTTTAATTAACATACAGGACAAAGGGAAATTTTCAAAATATTTTTAACTCGATGAAAATGAAAATACAACTTACCAAAATGTGTGAAATGCAGTGAAAATAATTAGTTTAGCGGGAACAAATGATAATAGTTTAGGGGGAATGTTATAGCATTAAATGAATACATACACTAGAAAAGAAAGAAAATTTTAAATCCAGAATGTAAGCTTCTACCTTAGGAAACTAGAAAACAAAGAGAAAATTAAATCCAAAGGGCCTAAAGGAAAAGAACTAATAAAAATTAGAGCAGACCTTAATGAAATTAGAAACAGGAAATCAATACTGAGAATCAACAAACCCAAATGCTGGTACTTTAACAAGATCGATAAAATTGATAAACATCTAACTAGGTTAACTAAGAAAAAAGAGAGGACACAAATGTCTAATATTAGAAATAAAAGGACCATCATTTCTGACCCCCTGGGTGGTAAAAAGATAATATTTAAATAATATTATGAATAACTCTATGCCCACAAACTTGAAAACCTGAAAGAAATGGATCAATTCTTTGAAAGACATAATTTTAGAAAAACTCACATAAAGAAAAATAGATGGTCTCAACAGGTCTGTGCCACAGCTTGAACGTTTCTGTGCCCCTAACATCTGCAGAACCACTGAAATCCAAGTGGTTGGTGTTAAGAGGCAGGGCCTTTGGGAGATGGTGAGGATGAGGCCTTGAGAATGGGATTAGTGCTTCTGTAAAAGGGCCCCCAGAGCTCCTGAGCCCGTTCCTCCGTGTGAGGACACGGCAAGAAGGCAGCCGTCTGCACCAGGAGAGGATCCTGAAGAGCGCCTGCGCTGGCAGCCTGATCTCAGACTTCCCGCCCCCAGAACCGGGGGAAATAAAGGTTTGTTGCTCATAAGGCACCTGGTCTGTGGCATTTTATTGTAGCAACCTGAGCAGACTAAGATGACCTGTATCTATCAAAAAATAAAATCGATAAATTAATAGCCCCCCAAAACAGACAGCAACCAGCCCAGGTGGGTTCACTCGTAAAATCTACCCAGCGTTTAAGAAAGGCATTAAACTAGATACAGAAGACAAATTCGTGATTACCGGGGGAGAGGGAAGTGGGGAGAGGAGTGGTGAGGGTAGGGGACCAAGAGGCACAAACTACTGTGGATAAGCTGGATAAGCAAGTACTGGGCCAGGATAGGGATGCATCGCGCACACAGGGGAATATGGCATCATATGATAGTAAATTTCAACGGTGCATAACCCGTAAAAGTGCTGAGCCACTATGCTGTGTACCCGAAATTAACAAAATATTTCAGTTAAAAAAGAGACAAATAAAACTAATTCTCTATACTCTCTTCCAGAAAACCGAGGGAAACAGCATGTTTCCTAACTCATTCTGTGAGGCCAGTCTTACCCAAATTCCAAAATCAGACAGACACGAAAAGAAAGAACCACAGACAAATATCTCTTTTGATAGATGTGAAAATTCTCAACAAAACACAGGCAAATTTAATTCAATAATATATACAAATTAACAACCAAGGAGGACTTACTATAGGTATGCAAGACTGATTCAGCACTGAAAATCAATTAACATAACCTATCATGTCAAAAGGCTAAAGAAGAAAAAAATCATATCCATTGATCATATCAATAGATAAACAAAAAATATTTAACAAAATCCAGCAAAATTTTAAAAATCCTAGCCGACAGGATAGAGCAGATGTTTTAATAGATGTTCTACTTCAACTTGATAAAGAACATCTATTAAAAACCTGACATCAGAGTTAATAGTGAGAAACTAGAGGTTTTCCTGATAAGAACAGAAATAAGGCAAGGATATTTGCTTTCATCTTGCCTATTCAACATGAGGTTGGAAATTCTAGCTATTACAAAAAGACAAAAAAGGGACTAAAGATACACAGATTGAGAGGGGGAAATGGAACCACTTTTGTTTGAAGATGACACAGTTATCTATATAGAAATCCACCCCCCAAATCAAAATCAAACCGCAAACCTCCTGAAACTAGTAAGCAATTATAACAAGACAGAGAATAAAGGGTAATATACAAAAGTCAGTTGCTTTCTCATACTTCAGCAATGAAAAATTTGAGTTTGAAATTAAGAACACAATACCATGTACACTAACACCAAACTAGAGTGGCAAAGAGAGAGAGGGAGGGAGAAATACTTAGATAAAAATCTAACAAAATATGGATAAGATCTATATGGTGGTGGTTTAGTTGCAAAGTTGTTCCTAACTCTTGCAAACCCATGGACTGTAGCCTGCCAGGCTCCTCTGTCCGTGGGATTCTCCAGGCAAGAATACTGGAGTGGGTTGCCATTTCCTTCTCCAGGAGAACTTCCTGATCCAGGAATTGAACCTGCGTCTCCTGCATCGATTCTTTACCAACTGAGTTACAAGGAAAGCCTCAAGATATATATGAGGAAAACTATAAAACTCTGATGAAAGAATTTATCAAAATAAATGGAAAAATATTCTATGTACATGGGTAGGAAGACTCAACATTGTCAAGATGTCAGCACTTTGTAATTTGATCTATAAATTCAATGCAGTCTCATTCAAATTCTAGCCAATTATATTATGGCTATTGACAAACCACACCCAAAGTTTATAGAGAGAAGCAAAAGAAGGCAAAATACACAACACAATATTGAAGGAGAAAAAAAAAGTCAGAGGACTGACACTACCCAACTTCAAGCCTTAGTAAAAGCTACAGTAATCAGGACAGTGTTGTATTGGGGAAGAATAAACAGACAGATCAATGGATCAAAACAGAAAACCCAAAAATCGACATACACAAATATGGTCACCTGATCTTTGACAAAAGGAGCAAAGGCAATTTAATGGGAAAAGAAGAGTCTTTTCAACAAATGGTGCTGGGACAAACATTCACATGCAAGGAATGGATTTGGATAGACTTACACCATCTACAAAAACCAGTTCAAAATGAACCATAGATATAAATGTAAAATGCAAAACTATAAAACTCCTAGAATCTAACACAGGAGAAAATCTGGAACATACTGGGTTTGCAGATGAGTTTTTAGGTGTCACTGACATAGTCCACGAAAAAAATTAATGAGATGAACTTCATTAAAAATAAAAACTTCTTCTTTGTGGATACTTACTAAGAATGAAACAACATGTCACCAACTTGGAGAAAACATTGGCAAAGCATACCTCTTGATAAAGGACCGGTGTCCAACAATATCCAACATATGAAAGAGATCTTCAAACTCAACAACCTGACACTTGTTGATGTTTCTACAATTATTTGTTTATGCTTCTTATTCCCTTGGAAAATCCTTGAATCAAGATCAAATTGCGTATAAAATCATGCCTTCCGCCTACACGTTAGTTATTCAACAAATGGTGGTAAATTTGAATTGATCAAAACAATTTTTGGATAAAAAAGCTCATCTCAAAGAGTAACTCTTAGAAAGTAATGGAAGTTATAAACATGTGACACATAGAGTCTGTTGAACCTAGCTTGCTCTGTAACTCGGAAGTACCCAGATATGGATGGGTGCCCAGGGGCATGGAATCTTGGGTGCACAACAGAATCTGGAAGCCGCTGGGAAGCGATTCCAATATCTGGCATCGTCCCCAGAGAGGCTGGAGCAGGGCCTGGGCACCAGCATTCTTCTTAGCTCCCCAGGTGACTCCGAAGTGCAGCCAGATGACCCCACAGGGCTAGTGCCACTGTCACACCCGACAGCCCGGCGCAGACGTGAGATGACGCCACGAGCACATCAGGCAGGCCAGCTCCCAGGCTCCAGTTGTAACAGCCGCTGTTTCTTCCCCACTGGAGAATGCCCAGCTGTGTACAGCAAACTAGCTGATGTTTGGATAGTTATTTTAATTATATCCTATTTAATTGTATTTTAAATTAATCACTGCTGGCTTGCAACACATCTCTCACAAACGATGTATCTTAGTATCTACTGAGGACACCCCTTTGGGTGGAAAGTGTACTTTATTTTTAATTCAGCTAACTCTGATGACTGTCACGCATCTACCATGTCAAGGGTGCACCCTATGGTGTCATTTTTAACAGGAAGTAGAAGCAAGATCTTTTGGTTTAGCAGTATGCCCCCAGGCTGGGTACTCTGTGTTTCTGAGATTCACACAAGCGGAAGGGGAAATCACTGGAGTTTTGCTCCAGCCGCCCTGAAGGAGAGACTCATTGACCAGAGTCCTGCCTGGCCCGTGACTACCACGGCAGCCAGGAAATGATGATGTCATCACAGGCCCAACCCACTGCCCCAGCAGGGCGCAGACACTCCTGTGGGGCCGGGGACTTACAAAGAAAGGAATCAGGCCGGCTGCCTTGTCTCTCTCCAGGGTCTCCTGCAGGGCAGAAGCTTGCATGGCGAACTTGTCGTCTGAAGGGATGGCTTTTAATCTCACTCCACCAATTAAGCCGGCTCTTTCCACAGAGGAGTGTGCCTGCAAGAAAGCCCCAGGTTAGACTCTGAGCAGCCTCCAGCGCTTCTGCAGGGCTCCTGGGCGCCCCCAACTCCCTGCACCACCTCCAAACCAGGAGCTGTTTCAGGTCCTGAGGACTCCACTTCCCAGCTGAATGATTCCGACTCTTAGAGGGCAGAGTGCTGGGCTGTGCCTGCGGGCGAGGGTGTGCACCTGCTCAGTTGTGTCTGACTTTGTGACCCCACGGACTGTAGCCCGCCAGGCTCCTCTGTCCATGGGATTTCCCAGGCAAGGATGCTGGAGTGGGTTGCCATCTCCTCTTCCAGGGGATATTCCCAACCCAGGAATTGAACCCCCCAATGTCTCCTGCATTGCAGGCAGATTCTTTCTGTGCTGCGCCATCAGGGCGGTCTTATACGGAGCTGTATTAAGGGCTTTTTCATCCCCTGGTTTGAATTCGACAGAAGCAGTGGATGCTCATTTGTAAGCACGGATGGGAAAATGACACCTAGTAATGTCACCTGATGATATTACTCTAGAAGGTTCTTAGTAAGCCCCTAGTCCCACTCTTATCATCTGAGGCTCTAAAATTGCATGCGAAATATATGATGATGCTCAGAAGTAGCTCTCCTTGTGGTTTGTGTCCTCTTTACCCTCAGACGAGGAGCAAGGTGATAGGGTTATATATTTACAACCAGCACCTTGACCCGGTGCTCCTGGGGGCTAATGCTCATCTGAAATGTAGATTCCACTACAGCTCCTCCTCCAGGAGGAACTGATGGGAGGTGACTATCTCAGAGGGCACATCCTTGCTCATTCCTTCCCTGTGTATCTGGCTTCCCTAACTCCTACAAGTTTCCCCAAAGAGCATCCCTTAATAAATGGTGAACCCCTAAAGCCCCACATCAGACCCTGCTCCTTGGAAACCTGAACGCAAAGCCACAGAATTGTGCCTAAGAGTCCATGGCTGTCCACTCGATGTAATGAACCCACCTGACTCCTGTCATCTAGGATAGTACTACCTCACAGCCTCCTTGGGAGAGTCTGGAGAACACCATGGATCACTTTTCTAGGGTGAAATTCCCTCATGAAAACCCTGCTGGTAAAGGCTACCACCTAACATTCATAGCAACTTATCTCAACATAGATACCTAGAGACCTACAGGTGCATTTTTAAGAGTTTTCTCATGTTTGTCTGGGCAGCAAGGGAGAAATAAACAGAAGTGAATCGTTTTCTTCCTCTGTGGGCAGCTCTAGCGCCTGGAGTCAGAGTACACACACAGAGACGATCCTCCTGACAAAGCATCAAAGTATGGGCACTGCACTGATTCCAAAGCTGTCACAGTTGAAATGCCCTCATTAAGAAATTCATTAAAAATACTACATCAGTGATATAGAGAACCAGGGGGATAAAGTGGGAGACTGGCACTGAAATATACACACAACTGTGTATGAAATAGATAACTGATGAGAATATACTGTACAGTACGGGGGGGAAAAAGAAGGTACAATCTATTTATAGGATGTATATTAAGTTAACCTTAAAAATACATTCCAAAATACAGTCTGAGCAGGCAAAAACGGTTTGATTCCACTTGCATGAGGTACCTAGAACAGTCAGCTTTATAGAGTCAGAAAGTATGTGGATGCCAGGGGTGGGGGTATGGAGGGGAGGGGCGGGGTAGTGGGGACTTAGTGTTTGATGCTCAGAGTTTCAGTTCAGGAAGGTGAAAAATCTGGGAGATGGATGATGGTGAGAGTTGCACAACAGCGTATGTAGTTAGTGCCACTGAACTGCATAGTGTGTGTGCTAATCACGCTCTTGGGTCCAACTCTTCGTGACCTGATGGGCTGTGGCCCGCCAGACTCCACTCTCCATGGAATTCTCCAGGCAAGAACACTGGAGTGGGTAGCCATTCCCTTCTCTGGGGATCTTCCTGACCCAGGCATAGAACCTGGATCCCCCACATTGCATGCAGATTCTTTACCATCTGAGCCACCAGGGGAGCCTGAACTGTACAGTTAAATATGGTTAAAGTAGCACGTTTTATATTATGTGACTTTTGCCACAATAAAAATAGTTTTAAAAATACTATGTGGGCGAAGCTAAGTCAGCTATTCCTTGTGGAACCAAAGCCTCTGGTGGTACCATTTTGGTGCCTTCTTGAGTCTTGGTTCACTCGTGGGGCTACTGCTCAACGCTTTCCTTCTGTTCTCTCTCACACAATTGCCTTTAACCTTTTTCAAGAAGGCTGACCACTGGAATTGATCACGGACTAGATGCCCCCACTGGCAGAGAACTCCAGACCTTACACAGCACCACCTCATCCCTCATCTCAGTGCAATACTAGCTGGCAGAGCAGCAACAGCAGGCGGCAGGCCCTTTTGACCCTGTCTGATGGTTTGAAAAAGGCTTTGGGAACTGACGTGATTGGTCTGAGATCACAGGGCTGGGACGTGAGCCCGGGCCTTTGAGCCCTGAGCCCCACGTGCAGCTCCAGTATGCCGTGCTGAAGGCAGCCAGATGGCCTGACACGAGCTGGGACAGGTGGGGTCGGGGTGATCTCACAGCATGTTTACTCTCTTTTCAGCCTGATCTGCTAAGTTCCCACCTGCAGCCTACATCTTTTCTTTAGCACTGGTCTCTCGCTTAGTGACACCTGGGGGAATGTTCTTGGATTGGAAAGGATACTGCACGGCCTGTTGTTTTCCTTTTTTAATTTTTGGACACCCCCTGAGGCATATGGGATGTTAGATCCCTGACCAGGGGCAGAACCCACAGCCCTGCAATGGGAGACAGAGTCTTAACCCTGGACCACCAGGAAGTCCTTGATGTGGTTTTGACTTGACTCCACACAAACCATTCCACCCCAGGAGGCTCAAGGAGGCTCTGGGCACCACGCTCACCTGATCAGACGCGTAGGCCACCAACTTCTCCATGACGGCAGCCTGTGTCAGCTCCGGGGAGGCAGCCTGCAGGCGTCGGGTCACTTTGGTCCGAGCGGCCAGCAGCGCCACCAGGGTAGCTTCACTGGCAGTTCCCTAAGTCAAAGCAAAGGCCAACAGGACCGTCCAACGGCAGCCAGGGAGTCAGGACAGGAGGTACTGGTCACAGTACCTGGGTCACAGCTCCCAGCACAGCTTCATGCACACAGCAACTTGGACAGACACCTTTGTCTGTTTTTACAACGGGTCGCCTCTTCTTTGAGACCCAGAAATTGCCCTGGAGGGTTTTCCCCAGTCACTAATGTTACAGACTGAATTCCCCTCTCCCAGATTTCATATAGGAGCCCTAACTCCCAATTTCTCAGGATGTGACCACATATGGAGACAAAATCTTTGAAGGGATCACAAAGTCAAAATGAGCCTTTTAGAGGGGCCCATGGTCCAGCCTGGCTGGTGTCCTCATAGAACGAGGAGCTGAGCACACGTGCCCGTACACATACACACACACACACACACACACACACACGCACGCATGCACACACACACACACACACACACACACACACGCATGCGCAGAGGCGAGGCCAAGTGAGCATACAGGGAGGAGATGGTTGCCTGCAAGCTGAGGGCAGAGGCCTCGGGGATATCAGCCCCAACGCCACCTTGACCTCAGATGTCCCCGCTCTGGACAATAAGACAATCCTGTCTGCTGCCTAGGTTGTCTGGTCTCTGCTTCTTCCTTGTGGCAGGCTTATCAAGCTAACACAATGAATGTCAACAACTTCTTTTGGCAAAGGAATCAGGATGCAAAATTCCCTCCTCTGAGGGTGGGTGGTGGTGAAAGAGAACATAAATTCAGCACCCACTCTGTCAACCCATCTAAGTTGCAAACTAAGCTCATTTTTAATTGTATCATCTTTGGTTGGGATACCTATGTTCAGAGAGTTTAGGTAACTTGCCCCAAATTAACAGTAAGTGAGCAGTGTGGTTAGGAGCAAACCCACATCTGTCTGCAGGGACCACTACCCTTGGGATCACGGATCCTTATGTAAGTCCTGGAAGAGACCATAAGCTGAATGGCATTACCGTTAGAAAGAAAAAGTGTAAAAGGTAGAGTTTTTTTGACTGTGAGAAAGAAATCTATAAAATAAAAACACTCATAATTCTGTAGAGCTGTGCAGCTCTAATGTATAAATTCATATATACACATCTGTAATCTTAATTTCAAGGAAACACACTGGTCATAGCAAACACCCTCTTCCAACAACACAAGAGATTACTCTACACATGGACATCACCAGATGGTCAATACCAAAAGCTGATTATATTCTTTGCAGCCAAAGAAGGAGAAGCTCTATACAGTCAGCAAAAACAAGACCGGGAGCTGATTGTGGCTCAGATCATGAACTCCTTATTGCCAAATTCAGACTGAAATTGAAGCAAGTAGGGAAACCCACGGCCTCCTTCATACACACTGACATGGAAGCTCATTGAAAGGCATGGGCCCAGGGATGCATGTCCTTGTCTTCCCCGACACTCCTGAGGGCCTGCAGCTCGCTCTCAGCACCACCCTCTGTCTGAGGCCTGGAACTCCCACTACCCCTCAGCACTCATGCTGCTGTGAACCACATTCTAAGGAAAGGCTTCAATCACCACAGCAGTTCACAATGGGCTTTCCTCTAGGTGCTGTCCATGCCTTGAAAGAAAACCCCCTTCCTTAGGCAACAAAAAGCGATTCTTTCAAAAATATGCCCAATGAAAAAACTGTCAGCCAAGCATCCCTAAGTGCAATGGCTGGAGGAGGCATGGCTTCATTGTAGGAAATCTGTTTCTCTTTCTTTAACCTTTGCTTCTGGTTGCTTTTTTCACTAAAAGGATACTGTGTATGCATAATGACCTGCCCCAGGGAACCCTGCCCTCTTGCGTGAGTGTTAAAGCAAAGTGCCTTTGTTCAGACCCTGTCCACCTGTGGATGGGGGTGCTCAGTCACTCATTTGTGTCCAGCTGTTCACGACCCCATGGACCGTGGCCCACCAGGCTCCTCTGTCCATGGGATTCTCCAGGCAAGAATACTAGAGTGGGTTGCCATTTCCTTCTCCAGGGGAATCTTCCTGACCCAGGGATCAAACCAGTGACTCCTGCATCTCCTGAATTGGCAGGCAGATTCTTTGACCACTGAACCACCTGGGAAGGAAGAAATTAATAACATCCCCTGCCTGAGGCTTGCCATTCTAGGAGGTAATTGCGAGATTGTTTTGTTTTGTTTCACTTTGCTTCCTCAACTCCTCTCCCTTTCTGTTCTATAAAAGAACTTGGCATCCAGACCCCCAACAAGAAGGCTGAGACATTACTCTTCCATCTTCTTGGCCAGCCAGCTTTACCAATACATATTCCTTGCCTCAACACCACATCTTTCAGTTAATTGGCCCGTAGTGCAGCAAGCAGAGTGGTTTGGACTGGGTGACAGCTTGGCGACAGGGGCAGCGGGACAAGTGGGCCTCTGGCCTCTGCGGAAGCAGGTTTGGGCCAAGGAAGGGACAGGGCGCCTGCTCTTGCACAGAGAGCAGTAATGATACCTCTGTCTTCCTGCTGCAGACAAAGGTTGCCATGGTGAGGCTGCGGCAAGGGAGAAAGAACTGCGATGAGCATTGCTACTGGCTGCTGATGCTGGAGCAGGAACATCCTTTCATTTTCTTGGTTTTCAAGTGTCACCCCACACACAGCATGAAATTGGCTTTTCTTCCACAAGCGCTTTCAGACCCAATTAAGAGACTATTTCCATGGCCCTGTTTGTCCAGCTCAAAGGATGATTTGCCATTTGACGCAGACACCCATCACAGGACCGATGCCTGGCAGCTGTGATTATGGCTCTGAGGGGCCAGCATCCCCCGCATCCGAGGGCTCCCTGCCTGTCACCAGGCTCAGGCACTCCAGGCCCTTGCAAATTAGAGACAATCAGCCTTGTCAGAGGGAAGGGTGGGTTTCCTGCCTCAAACACAGACACGATCGACCGCTTTCCTTGAGCAAACTGGGTGGACAGGGCTCCAAGGCGGGGTGTATTGAGTCCTGGGCTGAGAGATGTCAGAATTAGTCCCAAACAAATGCCTGGTCTTCTGCTGTTTCTGGAAAATGGAAATGTCTTTAAAGGAAAAGGTAATTTAAAGATGAAGCCCATGGCAGCATGCCCATCTCTGGACACTCACACCCCAGCAGAGGGCCAGGGACAGGCTAGTGGGACACCCTGGTCTCCAGCTGACATGAGCCCCAGCTTTGCCTCAAATTAGCTCACTCGCCTCAAATTAGCTCAAGCCCTGGGGCCCCATGCACTATGTTTCTGGACCTTGGATTGTTGATAACCCAATCCTCATAAATATTTGGAGGTTGAGAAATGAACACAGAAAACAGAAGAAATAAAGCTAAAACACAGCCTAACTCAGAGTAGGTGTTCAATAAAAAGTTGCTATTATTATGATACACTCGCCTTGGATGATGAGGTATCTGTAAGATTTTTAATAGTATCAAACAAGAGAAATCAGCTCGGGCTACTGACAAGAATTAAACATGAAACTGTTTTAGTCATGATCTCCAGTGACCCAGAAAACCTCTTTTTAAAAATTTTCGTTTGTTTTTGATTTTTGGTGGAGCTGGAGTATTCATGTTGAATATGGACTCAACCAGGTGAGCCTCAGTAGAGAGCTGGGGATCCTCTTAGGAGATTTTTGACCTTCATCCTACAGGGCATCCTTTGAGATATGATTTATGAGTGAAAGATGTGATACTATATATATTTATGTACATATTCTATTTAAATTGTGACACCATAGAAAGTCATGCAAATGGAAGGAGATCGTACATGTCAAACATACCATACTTAATTTTAAAAAAAGAGAAAATCATGCAATAATAATATTCTCAAAGACTAAACAATAGGAGGACTTCCCGGTGGTTCACCTGCCATCAGGGGCCACGGGTTCAATCCCTGGTCTGGAAAGACTCCACATGCAGGACAATTGAGCCTGTTTGCCTCAACTGCTAAGCCTGCTCTCTAAGAGCCCAGGCTCCGCAACAAGAGAAGCCACCGCAATGAGCCTTTGCACCGCAACTAGAGAGGAGCCCCTGCTCGCCGCAGCCCGTGGGCAACAAGGAAGATCAGGCACCACCAGAACTGTTTACAGATAAAATAAATAAACGCTGGGAAAAGCCCACAACAAAGCGGTAAGTCAAACACCACACAGGAAATACCTGACGTGTTGTATTATCCCAGTCTTGTTTATATTGTGTATGTATGTATGTACACACACACATACACACACACAGATTTTGAAATAACATTGGGAGGAAGCTGCCCCAAAGTGTTTCTGCATCTCTTCCATTTATCTAACGGATGTCTAGTTTTCATTAGTGGAAAGGAGATGATCCTTTTAAGCTGAATAGCAGAGCCAAACTGACACTGAAGGTGATCAGTCAACAGTATGAAAAATGGAGATAGCGATATAAAGAAAACCACGAGCAACACCCCCAAAATACAGAGGAGAAAATGACCAAAAAAAAAAAAAAAATGGAAAATGCCAAATAAAAGTGGAAAATTATGGAATGGAAGTTACCCAAACTGTGGAAAGCTAAAGTTCCTCAAAAACAGAGTATAAGGGGCCCAGAGACAATGACTAAATTATAGTGGGAGGAGAATGTCCCTGGGTGAGGGAAGAGCTGAGTCTCAGATTAACTGGGCTTCCCAGATGCTGGGACATGGGGTCAAAATGAATAACACAAATGGAAAAAGTGTATCTTGATAAAAACTGTGGAATCAGAAAGAAAAAGTAAGTCTACCACAAGGGTCCATCTTGTCATGAAGTGTCCGATCACCTGCAGGGCTGGAATTCAGTGGAACAGAATTCACCACCAAGGTCCCCACGGCAGCCTGCCCCTCTCTGGCCCTGCTCTTTGCTTGCAGTGGAGCCCCCAAGAGTCAGGGAGCTGAAAGCCACCCGACCCCCAGCAAGGGAGGGTGTAGCTGAAGGGGCATGGACTGGGGCTGTGGGTAGCAGCCCCTTCCCCTGGCTGGAAGCGGCTCCGAGCTCAGACCTTTGTGTGTGATTTTTCCCAGGTTGCCCCGGGCAGCATTACCTTGACCAACAGAAAACTGTCCAAGGTGGCCGAAATGTTTGCCACTGTGAAAAGAGTCACTGTTGCCGCCGTGTCTAAGTCCCGTTCACGGCACCGTGTTGAAGCTCTGCTTACTCGGAGTGAAGGGCTCATTTCCATCAGCCGCCACTCAGAAGGGCTGCTGCAGGAGGGAGCGTGCTATACGCGCAGAGGTGAGGCAGGAGGGGACGAGGGAGTGTGGTTGAGCTTGGCCAGGCTGGGCAGGAGACAGATGGTTTTATGTAGAGTGACCCAGCAATTCTCTCATCAGTCCTGCTAATAAATGGTTTGGTGACATTCTCAACCATAATCCTGTCACAAGAGCATCTGTGACTGTTTGTCCCATCCTGACCCTGAGCCAGGATATGCTTTATCTCCACATTGGCAGAAACCACAGGGCCCCAGTTGAACTGTCAGAAGGAGAATTCTCCTCTGGCTTTAGCGGGGCATGCAGCAGGTCCGTTCGTCCTGTTTTTCCCTAGCAGAATCTGCCAATATCATCACTGCAAACATTTTCACGACCATCCTAATCTTGGGAGCATTCCATAATCCCAACCTGCCAGAATGATGCACAGTCAACTTCATTATCAAAACTCTTGTCCTGGCCATCTCCTTTTTATGAATATGAGCATCACAGCCAGGAGTCCAATATAATCAGCCTATATCATATCTCTTATAAAAAAAAAACTGTCTGCCACTAGCACCAGCCCTGTGAATATGCCATGTCTCACTGCCCGTCATCACATCAGCCATCCCATCACAACCATCAGAAAGAGATCTGGTGAAAGAGTTACTTTGAGAGAATAAGCAGGCCATAGGTCACAGAAAAGTCAGCCCTGGGTCATGCCACAAGGCTTGTTTATCGAAGAGTATTTCAACATCTCCGGATGCAATGACATGAATGCAGCATCAGGATGACCTGACCTGCAGGTTAGAATGCTTATTCCTGGGCCCACCTAAGACTTGTTAACCCAAATCTGTGAGGGTAGAAGTGAGACTCCCTCTGTAGGTCCCTCCCTCTGTGACGCTGACCCACCCTGGTTTTGTTTGGGAGAATAAAAGATGTCACGCTTTCATCCTGGAAGCTGAGAATCCCCACTGTATTTGGAAGAGGGACCCTGCTAGTGTGATTAAGTTAAGAACCTTGACAGGAGGGGAAGGGGGTTATCGTGGATTATCTGGATGGACTCTATCTAATCTTGCGGGTCCTAAAAAGTGAAGAAGCTTTCTCATTTGTGGTCAGAGGAGAGGTGACCTGAAAGAAGGGTGAGAGAGATGGGACACAGCCTCTTTGCAGACAGATGAGGTGCCATGGCATAGGAATGTGGGGAACTACTAGAAACTAGAAGAGGCAAGGACAGAGTCTTGCTTAGGACTTATAAGGGGTCGGCCCTGATTTTAGCTGTGAGAGCCTCAGGCTCCCACCAGAAAGAACTGTAAAATAATAGGGTTAGTCAGCAGATTAGCACACTAGCATTTAAAAACCTCGCTCAGTTGAGCAGTCTCGAGCCTGGAGATGGGGGCTTGCCCCCCCATCTCCTCCGGCCATGCCAGCAAGTAACCTCACACTGAGGCATCTGGGCCTCAGTTTGCATCAGCCGAGTGGACACAAACACAGCTGCTGTGACTGATTCTCAGAACCTTTGAGAAGATGATATCTGAAAAAGGAAATTCTTCTTTTCCCCAAAGTAGAGGGTGCATTCCCTGTGAGGGCGGTGGGTTGATTGGTGTCCCTCTTCGCTTCTAGGAGAGAAAACAGCCAAGCACTCCTAGATTCCTTAGTGGCATTTGTGCCATAGATGCTCCGCTGTGCCTGTCATCATGTGTCCTGTCCCCTGGCGCACCATCCGGCACGTAGACACTCTCAAAGGGACGTGTTAGATGAAGAATAAATTTAATCATCACATAGCAAAGGCAGCATCTTCAGGTGAATGGTGGGCTCCCGTGGGTGCAGCTCTTTCTAGAAGGCGCTGTAGCACTGGGTCACAGCTGCCACTGCGGACAGCCCTGCATGGTGGTCAGATTGTGGCTCTGTGGTCAGATGGGTGTGGACTCAGACCCTAGCTCTAGAACTTACCCACTGGGAATCAATGGGCAAGCTACCTGACTGCTCTGAGCCCTAGTTTCCTCGCCTGTGAAACGGGGGTTGAGAAATGGTCCCTAAGCAGACTGCTGTTGTGAAAATTAAGTTTGGGCCTGGGAAGCACTCTGGTACGTGGGCAAGCAATGGGGACCCACACACGTCTCCACTGTTGTGTTTACGTCTATGCGCCAGCCAAGCGACAGCTGCCATGCTGCCCACGTTAACAGGGACCTGGGAGTGAGAGATGGCTGGGGAGCCAAACCAGATGCAGAGCTTTCCTAGGGCTCTGCTCTGCTCATTCTCCAAAAGAACATGAAGACCCAAGATGCTTGCGGGCCTCTTGCCCACCTGCATCCCAGAATCCGGACCCCACCCTCTCCACCTTACCTGGATCACCCCGCCCCCTTCTCCAGCTTCTCCAGCCAGAAACGCCTCAGGCAGCTGCAGCATCTTCCCCAGCCAGTCCATCATCACCGTCTCTAGCTCCGTGCACGCCGGGCTGGCAGCCTGTGGGCAGGAGGAAAGGATGAATCACAGGCGGCTGCCCTCAGCTTCCTGCCAGCTTGGGATTCAGGGGTATGACAAGCATCTTCCTTACTGCCCTTGATCAATTTAGCAAAAGGTTTCGAACATTTTCAAGAGGCCCATCCCTGGATGGGACTCACTTTGAAGGTGGGCTTGCACATGGTGGAGTTTCTGGAGAAGCAGCTGGACCCCTCCCCCCAGCAGCCCCAAGTCATCACCAAGGGCCACTGGCAAGGCTTGGTGCTGAGAGCTGGCACCCATAACCTTCTGCTTCCCTCTGGCCCCTGGAGAACCATGAAGGGGCCATGCTCCCTGGGGCCCAGGTTGGCTGCTGGAAGTCCATGTTCTCTGCATGGGGTTTGCAAGTCTCTACCTGCCTCACCCAAAGGTTCAGGTCCTGGATGCATCATTACCTCTGCCCTCCGTGGTTTCTCCATCATAAACCTTTAGGGGCTGGTGCCAGAACAAGGGCCTAGATCTGGCTGAATTTCAGGAGCAACAGCAGGCTTTATTCATTCACTGACCTCTAGATTAAAATTGCCTGATCCCAGGTACTATTCAAACATCTCCCAAAGTTTCAAACATGGTCTCCAGCCATGACTTGGGAGTAATGCAGGGCAGGAAGGCACCGACCTCTGTGATGACCTGCCCCCCAGCCGCCCTGTGCCCAGGCCAGCTTCCTCATTCAGCCATCTGTTTGTTTACAGAAGGACCTAGTAAGGCTCTCTGGTGGACCCCGGTTCACAATCACAGTGCGAGGAATGAGATGGGCTGAGTGGAGGAAGTGAAGCCCTGGGAACCCCTCAGTCTCTCCTCTTGCCTTCCAAGCTCTGGGGACGGTTCTCCTGTGCTCGGGAGGGGGTGAGCTGGCCACAGGCCCCAGCTGCAGGTGGACCAGCCTCTCCAACCATCTGGGTCTCACTGTGGTGCTCTGGGTGCCCTCACGCGTGCCCCAGTTCCCCTCATACTGTGGGGCAGCACCGCCCAGAGGACCCCCCCCCATTCCATCCTGGCCAAGCCCCTCTCCAGGCATGGGAACCTGCCCCACTGCTCAGAGCCCAGGGCTCGGCCAGTGCCTCTTAGGGACAGTGAGGCAGCCCTCCAAGGCCCCAGGGCACCAGGCCACCCTCAGAGGAACAGACCCAGAGGGACGGGGGCTCTGGATTGGAGTCCGAGTGGAGTCTGCTGTCCTGTCTGAAGTAGGGAACATGCTTTAGAAGACACGTGCTCTGAGAGTCCCTGAGGCCACATGGGCAGCACCCAGGCTGCTGTTCCAAAGAGAAATCCCTGCAACTAAGGCAAGAGCTGAGGGCTGACCCTCCAGGTCTGCCTCTGGTGTGCTGAGGCTCCCTTCCCCAGCAACCCTGGACCCCAGGCTAGAGAGGAGCAATGAGGGAGGGGGCCGGAGCCGGGGGTCGGGGTGACGGGGGCGCCGCACCTCGGGCGTTCAGGAACTCACACCCGCTTAGTGCCTGAGGCCGTTACTCAGCACGACTCAGGAGTTACAAGTCTGCTCAGCTATTTTGCACAAGCAAGCAGGCACCCTGGGCCCAGAAGGCCGAGAGCAGACCCTGGAGAGGGGCCCTCAAATATGGACAGCACTGGGGTCCCTCACATGGTCAGCAGGAGGCCCTGGGGTCCCTCACACGGTCAGCAGGAGGCCCTGGGGTCCCTCATATGGTCAGCAGGCACCGCTGGGGTCCCTCACACAGTCAGCAGGAGGCCTCATTCTGCATGAGGGAAGCCAGGAATATTTCCTGTGGTGCTGGGCTGGGATCGCTCTAGGCCTTTTTATAAAATAGTGTTTATTGGAGCATAGTTGATTTAGAATGTGCTGTTAGTTTCTGGGGTACAGAAAAAGAATCAGTTACATGTATACCTATATGCCCTCTTCTTTAATTTTATTCCCGTACGGGTCATTACGGAATATTGAAGTGTTCCCTGTGTTATGTAGCAGGTTCTTATTAGCTACCCACTTTATTATAGTGCATATATGTTAATCCGCAGCTCCTAATTTATTCCTCCCCCACCTCACCCCCTGGTAAACACAAGTTTGTTTTCTATGTTTGTGATTCTAGTTCTGTTTTGTAAATAAGATCATGTGTACCATTTTTAAGATTCCACCTATAAGTGATATTCTATGATATCATAAGATGATATGATGATGATATCACATGATGCCTGTCTTTGTCTGTCTGCCCTACTTCACTTAGTATGATAATCTCTAGGTCCATCCACATTGCTGCATGGCATTACTGCATCCTTTTTTATAGCTGAGTAATATTCCATTGTATATAAAGGTGCCCTGGGGTTGGTGTGGAGGCAGGGCTGATCCCTGCTCTTGGCAGCAGCACTTCTGTTGTGCTGGGCTCCTTCTTGGGACAGCATCCATGGCTGAGAACAGAGAGGGTGGGACCAGGGCAGTCATGTTTCTCAAACTGCAGATGGTCTAGAAACCCCTTGTTCTGCTTGGAAGACATATAGGTCCCCAGGCTCGGGCTGCAGAAGCTCCAGGGCCTCTACTGTGGTTTGAATTGAAACCAAGCACCTCTAAACACACCGCTGTGCAGAGCTGGCTTTCGGATGTGGACAGACTCCCCCTCTGCTTCTCCAAACTCCAGATTCCCACACGAGGCCCCCTCTGCCCAGACCCACGTCCCTCTCCTTCCCACCTGCTCACTGCCTGAGTCCTGGCTGCATGTCCCATGTGGGAACCCCAGGACACCCCCTCCCCCACCAACACTCACCCAGGAGAAGCCGATGCAGCCGATGGCCCCACACAGCATGTCCGCGAGCATGGCCGGGTACGAGCTGGCCGTGGGGAAGTAGGCGAAGAAGTAGGGACTGTGCCAGTGGGTCACCTGTGTGGGACACGGGCAGTCACTTGGGGCCGGGGGGCAGCCCTGCAGGCAGGGGGCCAGGGTGCTCGGGTGTGCCACAGAGAGTCAAGTCTGTTCATAGAAAAACCTTGTTCTAACTTCTGGCCAGAAGTGTCAGCAAGGGGGCTGCCCCTGAGATCCCATCTCTTTGTGTCATGAGATCGCTTTTTCTAAAACTGCTCCAAAAAATAGTCTATATCTGAAAAGGGGAAAAAGAGAGATCTGATTTTTGAGGTTTCCTCAGCCGCCTACTGCAGCTTCCTCCCTCTCCTGTCCAATCCATTCCCAGTTTATGGAGCAGAAACTTCTGGGCTTGGCAGTCTCATGGAAACCCCGGGAGATGGTGCCTGGAGGTGGGGCCTTTGGGAAGTAAGGGGCTGGGTGAGCTGGAAAGGGTGGACCCTCCACATGGAAGAAAGCCTGGGATCAGAACCTCCCAGGATCCGAATCTGCGGGAACCTTGACCTTGGATGCCCAACCTTTGCCCCATGAGAAGAGGATGCCCCTGTCCAAGCTGCCAGCAGTGGGATCTGCCGCTGCACAGCGGCTGGGACAGCCCTGGGTCTGACATTTAACTGCACTCCCGGGAGGGATTTCGTGCTGAGCGGCTTGTCACATTTGCACAACCTCTGGGCCGGTGAGAACCAGAATCCTGCTCTCTGCTCGAAGCGCAAATATCACAGGAACTCCTGGGAGGAGGAGAGCGGGGAGGTGCCCTGGGCTTAGGGGACCCATCAGGAACCCCATGGGTGGGGGCGCCTCGCCCCGAGTGTCAGGGTCTGAAATTCCAGAACCTGGGCTCCTGACTAGAGCTGAGGGGGTGAGGCCGAGGGTCTGAGACCCCTCACCACACCAGTGAACATGCCTTTAAGTGAGTCCAGGGAAAATCTCACCATGCAAGCATGAAGCTGCGGTGGGGCTGCCTTTGAATTTGAGCTGTCTGCTTCCCTCCAAGTGACTCTTGGGAGACGACTGTCCTGGGTGCTCCCCACGTCTGTCTGCAGCCCCGGGTGTGCCCCACGGCCAGGCTCACGGACCTCAGACAAAGAGGCCCACTTTGGTGGTCCACGCTGCGCAGTCTCAGCAGCACGCAGCCCACTCTCAGATAAAATAAAGGAAACCTTTTTTCCACGCACTGATCGCCCCTCTGCTGAAATTAACTTACTTGAAGCTAACCATCTGTCTCACGTCCCAGGGTCTCAGGGCAGGGGATTGACCTTGTAACTGAGCAGGACCCTACGGGGCTTTCCTGGGAACAGACCCCTCCCCCACAGCCTCTGAGGTGGCTCCTCTCTGCAGTACCCAGATAATAGTATCTGACATGCACTTCCTGAGTTGTTTTACAGATGATAAAACCCCCACCACATGAAAGAAATTAACTACTTGATGACCATGAGCACATAGCTCCCAGCCTCTTGGCACCTGAGGATTGATCATGTGAACCCCTGTGATCCCACCCCGTGACCTCACCATCAACCAATAAGAGGAGGAGCTGATCATTACCCTGAGACTTTAAAAATGCTTTCCAGAAGAAACCCACCGGGAGTTCGGGTGTTTCGAACGTTAGCTGCCCTGGACTCCTTGCGGGATACCTGCGATAAATACCGCACTATCCTTCATCACAAGCTGGTGTCAGCTGGCTGGCTTTACTGCACAGGGGCCAGTGGACCCAGGCTGGCTCAGTAACAACCTAGGGGGCCAGAGGGAAATCATCGTCACCCCCTTTGGAGCCCACACGATCTGGATTGCAGTCCTGATTCCATCACTTACTAGCTGTGTGACCTTAGGCAGATCACTCAGCCTCTCTGGGCTTCAGTGGTCTCAGCTATAAAAGAGAAATAGCAAAGTTTCTCCCCAAGAAAATGACTGTGAGGATTAGGTGCAATAATGCAAATGAATTGCCTGACACCCAAGAGGTACTAAACGAACGCCTGCCCTCCTCTGCTTCAACCATGGATATAGGCTTACCCCTGGCATGATGATCTTCTCAACATCCTTAATGATGTCCTCAAATGTCTCTGGCTCCTGCGGGGCGGTGGTGGGGATCAGGCGGCGCAGGTAGCCTGGATCCACATCCGGAAACACCTGGCGCCCCTCGATGCCTTCCAGGTAGTCAGCCACGTAATCCACCATTTCCTTCCCCCTCCTGCGAAACTCACTTGCATTCATGGTGACCGCCCTCCTCAGACGCAAAAGCTGCACAGAGAGAAAAGAAGTCAGTTGCAGATGTGACGATGCCTCACCTGTAGTGGAGCGGTCCAAGCTGACCACTGGGGTGGCCTGGGCGGGGAACCAAACACCCCAGAGTCCACCCAGACTCCAAGTCAGGAACACTTTACCATGTCCAGATGGGGTAGAAGTAACCCTGGATTTGGAGACTGTAGCAAAGTACTTATTCTACTATTCACCAGCTACTCAGCTAAAGACAATGCCGTGTCTCTGTCTCGTTTCTTTTTCTGTCTGTATCATGAAATGGACCAGGCACACATTTATTTCCAGAGTCCATCACAACTTTAACAACAAGCCTTGGTTTCCAAATCCTGCCTTATTCTTCATGGGCTGTGGGACAGAGACTCTCTGGGTCTCTCTTTATCTGAGAAAAGCAGATGACCATGCTGATCTTTCCGGAAGGTAGAAAGGCAGTCACATGGCCTGTGTCCAGCATGAGCAGAGCCTGGATAGGATAACCCCATCTGCACGTCTTGTTTCTATATCTTGACTCCATCATCAGAGGGACCCACACCTCTGCATACAACCCCCTTCTTTCCTCACCACATAATAACATCCAAGTGACCCTGGTCCTCTGTGGTGGATTCCATAAAGAATCCATGAGCTCCAAATTAGCTCATGGGACCTTTCCCAGGGGAAATGCAAGGCTATGTTTCTGGTCACATTGTCGCCAATCAATCAATGCATAATCTTTTTTCTGTGTCCTTTTGTGTGATAGTTGCTCAGTTGTGTCCGACTCTTTGAGACCCCAAGGACTATAGCCTGCCAGGCTACACTGTCCATGGAATTTTGCTGCAAGAGGGGGGAGCCATTCCCTTCTCCAGGGGATCTTCCCAACCCAGGGATTGAACCGAGGTCTTCCACATTGCAGGCAGATTCTTTACCATCTGAGCCTCCAGGGAAAGCTGGAATTAGCTTTGATTTGTAACCAGGCCTATTGAATCCTACCACTGTTGTCCAGAGATACTAACATTTGCCATTTGAAATCAGGCATATATGCATGCTAAGTCACTTCAGTTGTGTTGGACTCTTTGCAACCCTGTGGACTGTAGCCCACCAGGCTCCTCTGTCCATGGGATTCTCCTGGCAAGAATATTGGAGTGGATTGCCAATTTCTTCTCCAGGGGATCTTCCCCACCCAGGAATCAAACCCATGTCTTTATATCACCTGCATTGGCAGGCAGGTTCTTTACCACTAGCACCACCTGGAAAGCCCCATTACCTTCTAAATACACTTTATTTAATACACCTTGGCCCCATGAACTTTGAACTTCTGGCCAACGACTCTCTCACTCATGAATGTCACTTACCTAATACACGTATTTTCTCCCTAAGGCACGTCACAGCCTTCTTGCATGTAGGGCCCCTGGAATGCACGCCAGCACTATATTTGGGGGCCATTTTTTAATAGTCAGGTAACCGAGAATCACATGAAGATGCAGCAGTAAATAGGCCACTTGCTGAAGCAACTAGGCAGAGTGTTGCCTTATCAGATTCTGCTGGCAACAAGCACCTTGGGCAACTTAAATTTTCTATCCTGCTATGTATGTGTGTGTGGCCAAGAATGATCATGAAGGCACCATTGTGGCGATTAATAATACAGATGAATTGTTGAAAACAGTTGCACCTGCATATAGAAAATCTATGAATAGTAAGCATGGATTACATTTTCCAAACTGGAAATGTGGGCCACACAAAGAAAGAAAAATATTCCTAGAATCCCATCACTCAAAAATTCTGGCACGCCCCCTTCCACATTGTTTCTTATAAGAGACAATTGTATGCTAAGTCATGGATGCACTTTTTAATTCTAATAGTTCAACGATTCATAAATCAAGATTAGTTTTCCTGTGGGAGTAAGTGTTGGGAGATGGTTCTACAAGCCACTGTATCTAGCTGATGATCTTGAGATCATGTTCTCAGCACTTCCATTGTTTCCCATCATCTGTGCTGCTTTTCATTTTTTTTTAAACAATTTTAATGTTAAACATATCAAGACAGGTTTTATTCAAGACTATTGCAATAGGAGAGGGAGACTGTCTCCCAAATGCAACAGGGGTCAGTGGGGATTTCCAAAGACAGGAAGAGTTAGGAAGCAGATGGTACTTTACTAAGAATAGTTTGGCTGGGTGTCCAGGTGGAGGAAGAAGAGCTGAAATGTATCCCAAGGGTAGAAGCTTGCTTGATAAACCAACTTAGCATGATTTTCTGCTACAGCTGGGGTCGGTTCCCTGAGGCGCAAACCTGCACTCAGGAGCGGGCTCGGAGAGGCCTGACTGGGTCTGACTGAGGAGAGTGTCTCTGTAAAGGGGAGTCAGATTGATGATGCCTCCCCTCTCCTGGCCTTCTCTCCAGGGTTCTCTTTCAGATTTTCTCCGTGAGTAGTATAGAAGGCACCCATGGAAGATTCCAGGCTCATCAAGGTTAGTGACTGAGTCTGGCTGAGGAGAATGTCTCTGTAAAGGGGAGTCAGATTGATGACGCCTCCCCTCTCCTGGCCTTCTCTCCAGGGTTCTCTTTCAGATTTTCTCCGTGAGTAGTATAGAAGGCACCCATGGAAGATTCCAGGCTCATCAAGGTTAGTGACTGAGTCTGGCTGAGGAGAATGTCTCTGTAAAGGGGAGTCAGATTGATGACGCCTCCCCTCTCCTGGCCTTCTCTCCAGGGTTCTCTTTCAGATTTTCTCCGTGAGTAGTATAGAAGGCACCCATGGAAGATTCCAGGCTCACCAAGGTTAGTGACTGGGTCAAACCTCCACATCCAAATGACTGTCTGGGGATACATTTTTCAGAGAGTGAACACGTGAGTGACAGTGACTGGATATGATAGAGGATTCGATTCTAAATTACTGCAACAGCAAAGGCTAAACTAATAGCATGAGAAACACCAAACTGACTCTTTGAGTTTCCATTGCACCTTTGTGTTTCATAAGCTGCAGGTCAAGGGAGCTTATCCAAAATACCGTGGCCAGAATTTCCAAAGGCTCTTAGTGCAAAGCCATGAAGCCTTCCGTATATGTACACTTTCAGGTTCATAATTCCTTGGGCCTGAAGGCTTCTAAATTTATTTTTCACTTGGAACAACTCTGATTATGTCTGATGTCACACATAGAGTAAAACTAGGTTATACTTCAAATTGACGTATTTTAAATTGACTCGATTCAAGTTCAACCAAAATTGCATCAAACCGCTGATCTTTTCGCTAGCTTGTTTTCTTTCACGAAGTAATTATGAGTACATTTCCCAGGTTGGTAAAGACTTTCCTGTTGCTTGATTTCTCCCAATTGCATAGTGTTCCACAGGGTGAATGTGCTGCGTTCACAACGTACGTCACTATCGTTGAATATCTACCTCCTCTCTGGTTATCACCTCCATTAGTGGGGACAGTTGGTGTAACCTAATGGCCAACCCTGCATGATCAAGAACAAAAGAGTCTGCACAGCATGACATAGAGGCAGCTGAGGTTTCCTCGTGTTCCTCAACTGGGAGCGAACACCAGAGTGAAGCTCTGTCTCAAATAATGTTTATGACAATTAGACAAGTACATGGGAACAGCTCAGGAAAAGAGCCACCAAATAAGCGTTCAGTACATGTTGTTAGAGTTTCTATAAAAAGCCCTGGGACTCACAGCCTCAATCTTTGTTTTTTCAGTTTGAGTCAGAATTTCCTTAAGAAAAGCACTTATTCTATAATTTCTTTAGGGCGAAATATTATAGAGATACGTATTTTGTGTGCGTGCTCAGCCACTGTGTCATGTCCGACTCTCTGCCCCGTGGACTGTAGCCCGCCAGGTTCCTCTGTCCATGGGATTGCCCAGACAAGAATCTTGGAGTGAGTTGCCATTTCCTCCTCCAGGAGATCTTCCCGACCCAGGGGTTGAACCCAAGACTCTGCTATGTCTCCTGTGTCCTCTGACAAGTGGATTCTTTACCGCTGGGCCGTCTAGTTAACGTTCTATGGCCAGACTTGCCCCCAGAAAATATTTTTGCCAAATTACTCACTCACAGGGACTGTATAAAAGCTCTAGATTTGCCACACAATATCAAACACTGGGCTTTAGATACATTTCAAGCTTCACCAGTCAGGCAAAGTTTCATGATTTCATTTTACTTTGATTTATGAAGACAAATAATTTTCTCACACGACTTTGCATAGTGGTGTGAGATTTCTTTTCTTGGGTTTCCTTTTTAATGAACTGCTTGTTCATTAGATTTTTTTCTACTTGGATATTAGATGTTTTCTTATTTAATTGCAAGAGCACTAATATAATAAATACTTGCACCCTATAATAAATACTTGTACCCTATGTGTGATGTATTTTGCAGACATTTCCTCATTTTTATTTGATCTAGTTTTGCTTTTAATTTTATCTTGACTTATAAGAATTCTAATGTAGTCAGATCTCAGGATCTGTTTCTTTGTGATTTGTTCCTTGTGCAAGACTATTAAAAAAAGCTTCTTAGAGTAAATATTCGCACAACCTCTATTTGCCCTCCAGGCTCCAGGGATCCTCTGAGGCTTCAGAAGGATGTGTAGGTTCCTGGAGTATCAGTCACTCTCTTCTAATGGGAATACAAGAGTATGGATGGCCAAACGGAAGGTCTTGGGAAAAAATAAAACTGACAGACACACCAACTTGCCCTTCCAAAGAAATATTCCCAGTCAAATTGTAAGATAAGATCTAATTATTATTTTCTAATCATTCTTTCCTTTATTTGCCAATTCTTTCCCACAAAGACTTTTCCAGAAGACTTTTAATACAAACTCACAGAGAATCTTGTGTTCATTTTGGAGCTGTTTGCTATCTCATGCCCTCAAGCTGGGCAAATATTGGCTGGAAGATGTAGACGATGATAAAGGTTATGACTGAGGCCTTTCCGGGCCTTGAAATAGTGGCTGTTGACATAATCTGATCGCAGCTGCAGGTCTGTGGTGAGCCCCACCTGCTCAAGGCCGCACAAGCCCCTC